CTAGAGCTCTCCCAGACTTATCTACAATCAGTCCTGCTTACTCCCTATCTACGGAATTGTACATAAGCGATGTCCTCAAAGAAGTTACTTCATTTCTAGCGATGAGTGACTCGGATGAGGACGATCTCGGCTTCGTACCCGTTAGTGGAGATCTACCAACTCTCTCCGTCGTGGAGTGCTCCATCTCTCAAAATGGACATTGAAGCTCTGTACTGGAACGTCGTTTCAGGGCACTATAATAGAGTCTTCGAAGAACAAGTATGTCATAGTCAAACTACTAGGAGCTGGAGGATTTGGCGCTGTCTACAGGTACTGTTCAAATTGGTGGAATAAATATATACTAAAATCTATGCTGCAGGGTACATGACCAAAGGGATCCAACGAAAATGTTCGCTATGAAAGTCGAAAAGAAGATAGAGACAAGGAGACATTCGAAACTGAAGATGGAGGTTGTGTTCGGTTGATTCACGGAGAGACAAACTTGGATGGAAATCGCGTGTGACGCTCATCAAATGGGGACGACATGAAACGCAGTATAGACGAGTTATTGGACGCAGAGACAGGGTGCCATTACGGACGCTGTTGGCGTTTCTTCAAGCACACTTATCTCTCCCAACGTCCGCTGCCTCTCCTCTTCTTCTCCTTGGCCATACTGTCTTGGCCAGACGCAACTGCAAACAGTCTCTGCGTGTGCTGACTCGTCTAGTAATTTACATCAGTTCCCACCACATTTGACCAACCGTTAAGCCAGATACGCTAAGAATGATGAACTAGGGAGAATAAAGTTCTTGCTGCATTTTATATGCAGACGAGCGGTTGGTTCTTCTCATTTATAATCGGAATGAAGAATACATAAAGGCTGCGCATGACGAAGGATAGAAGCAGTATTAGATGAGCGGGCGCGAACGCGGCGCGCGCGTATCTTTACCGTTGTAAGCCCCGCGCCTCATGCGCTTTGCGGCTAAGGCTGGGTTCATACTGTTCCGAAACTAACGGATTAGTATGAACCCAGGCTAATGAAGCCGCGTTCTGGCCCTGATAAATTGTGCCTTCGTTGTCCAGTAGCCTATAATTAGAACAGAACAAAGCTGTAGACATCCAACCAAAGCATCGTGATTCTCCCAATTCGACATGACATAAATCCTATCTACAACCTCAGAATAGGCTCGCTTGGAATCGGCTGCACAAACCACGGAGTATGAACCAAAGTAACCTGCCATTATTGATCGTTAACTTGTAGGTGGTGGTTGAGTGAGCGAAATTGGCCAAAATTTGACTAGAAATTTTCTCAGGGGCAACTTATTTCGGAAAACT